TAAGTGTGAACGACTTTTTTGAATATTTCAAAACATACAACCAATAACTCATGATTTGTACCAGATAAAAATGATCTTTTTTTTTTTCTTTGGGGAAACTAACCCCAAATGGGGTCTCATTTTGCTTGCTGTGAGGCTAATGGACGTGCTCGTGGCATCATCATTGCCTCAGTCCTTGCCAACCTCAAACTCCCTGGGCTCAAATGATCCTCCTGCCTTAGCCTCTCCAGTAACTGGGACTATAGGTGCATGTACCCATGCATGGCCAATTTTTTTTTTTTTTTGTCTTGCTATATTCTCAGGCTTGTCTCAAACTCTCTGGCTTCATGATCTTCCCATCTTGGCCTCCCAAAGTGCTGGAATTATAGGTGTGAGCCACTGTACCTCAGCTTTTTAGGTGTCAGTCCCATGTGTTAAAGTATATTCTCTTAAATATGCTACTTATTTCTACTTAATCCCCATAACAGACTGTTAGACAGAATTGGTACTGAGAGGAAACAAAAGCTCAGAGAATTTATGAAACTTGTCCAAGATTATTCAAGTCCAAGAACTTAAATTTGAGCCTGAGCTCTTAACCACTATATTCTGCTGACTCTTTGGGCCTCAATCTGACATCTACATTTTAGAGTTTTTCAGAGCTTGGTCTAGGCCCTCTTCTTCCTCTGTATTTCTAAGTATCTTCTTTTCCCCTATAGCTTTAAAAGCTATCTGTATACCAATGATGTGCAAATTTATGTTTCCAGCCCAGACCTGTTTCTCAAGCTGTGCATGAAATTCTGCCACTTGCATGACTCATAGGCATCTCAAACTTAACATGTCTAAAATTGAACTCTTGATCTTATCCACAAGACAATCTCCTCTATCTTGGAGACTGCAACTCTGTTCTGTTCCTTGAAGTGTTTCTGCCAGAAAAACTGAAAGTAATTTTGGTACTTTCTTTCCTTCTTAGCTCTTCACAAAGTTCCTTCAATTTTACCTTTAAATACTTCATGATCTATCCATTACTCTCTCTCATCCACTGCCACCATTCTAGTCCAAGCTGAACACTCCAAACATCTAATTGATCTCACTACATTACCTCTGACCATTTTTTCTCCTGCCATCTCCCCACAGCAGTTAGAAGGATCTTTTACACTGTGAATTAAATCATGTTATCTGCTGTCAAGACTTTTAAGTGGTTCCTGGGATACGACTGTCACCAATATTTAGTATCCTTCCTTATAGGAGAACTTAAAGTCAAGAGGGCATGTCACTTGCTTGGCAATGAAACGTGCACAGAAATGTAAATGTCACCTACAGGCAGAAGCTTCATGAGCCACAGAATGCTTCTCCATACTCTCATTCCCTTTGTCACGGCTATCAAGAACGCTCCAGACAGTGGCTGCACTGGCCGTAGAGTAGGGACAATGACATCCCAAGAGCAAAGCCCACTGCTGACCTATGATGGACACGTGTATGAACGAGACAGTCACTCTTGCACACTGCCAAGGCTCTGGGTTGTTTGTTATTATAACCTAGCTTATCCTGACTGATAGATCTCTATATTGCTCTTGGGATAAAAGCCAGGACCATTAACCATGACCTATGGTACTCTGCATTTCTCAGCTTCGCTTGTGCCACTCTTCCTTTCGTTCATTATTCTCAAGTCACAGGGGTTTCCCTTTAGTTCTTTGAACCTTCCAATTCCTTTTTCTTCTCAGGAATGTTAAAAATGCAAGGAACTATTTTTCCTCCTCTTAACTGGCCCAAAACTACTTATCTTTCAGGTCTTAGCTTAACTATACCTAAATTTCAGAGAAGCCTTTCCTCATTCTCCAATATATATTAGGTTCCCTGTTATGTCATAATAATACTATATCAAAAGGCAGTGGCGCGGAGGGGCCCGGACCGCGGCGAGAGCGCGCCACACGCCCCGCGCAGCCTGCGCGCGCGCCAGGACGCCTCCTCCAGCCACGGGCCCGGCCCGCGGCCTGGCCGCGCTGCTGCTGCTGCCGCTGCTGGCCACGGCGGCGCGGCGCTGGGGCGGCGGGCCGGGAGGCCGGGGAGGCTGGGGATTTTTTTTTATGGAACGCTTCACGAATTTGCGTGTCATCCTTGCGCAGGGGCCATGCTAATCTTCTCTGTATCGTTCCAATTTTAGTATATGTGCTGCCGAAGCGAGCACTGGAGCGTTCTTGATAGCCGTGACAAAGGGAATGAGAGTATGGAGAAGCATTCTGTGGCTCATGAAGCTTCTGCCTGTAAGTGACATTTACAATTTCTGTGCACGTTTCATTGGCCAAAGCAAGTGACATGCCCTCTTGACTTTAAGTTCTCCTCTAAGGAAGGATACTAAATATTGGTGACAGTCTATCCCAGGAACCACTTAAAAGTTTTGACAGCAGATAACATGATTTAATTCACAGTGTAAAAGATCCTTCTAACTGCTGTGGGGAGATGGCAGGGAAAAAATGGTCAGAGGTAATGTAGTGAGATCAATTAGATGTTTGGAGTGTTCAGCTTGGACTAGAATGGTGGCAGTGATGAGAGAGAGTAATGGATAGATCATGAAGTATTTTAAAGGTAAAATTGAAGGAACTTTGTGAAGGACTGAATAGAAGGAAAGAAAGGTACCAAAATAACTTTCAGTTTTCTGGCAGAAACACCTTTCAAGGAGACAGAGACAGAGTTGCCAGTCTCCAAGATAGAGGAGATTGCTTGGGGATAAGATCAAGAGTTCAATTTTAGACATGTTAAGTTTGAGATGCCTATGAGTCATGCAAGTGGCAGAATTTCATGCACAGCTTGAGAAACAGGTCTGGGCTGGAAACATAAATTTGCACATCATTGGTATACAGATAGCTTTTAAAGCTATAGGGGAAAAGAAGATCACTTAGAAAATACAGAGGAAGAAGAGGGCCCTAGACCAAGCTCTGAAAAACTCTAAAATGTAGATGTCAGATTGAGGCCAAAGAGTCAGCAGAATATAGTGGTTAAGAGCTCAGGCTCAAATTTAAGTTTCTTGGACTTGAATAATCTTGGACAAGTTTCATAAATTCTCTGAGCTTTTGTTTCCTCATCAGTACCAATTCTGTCTAAACAGTCTGTTATGGGGATTAAGTAGAAATAAGTAGTATATTTAAGAAATATACTTAACACATGGACTGACACCTAAAAAGCTGAGTACAGTGGCTCACACCTATAATTCCAGCACTTTGGGAGGCCAAGATGGGAAGATCATGGAAGCCAGGAGTTTGAGACAAGCCTGAGAATATAGCAAGACAAAAAAAAAAAAAAAATTGGCCATGCATGGTGACATGCACCTATAGTCCCAGCTACTGGAGAGGCTAAGGCAGGAGGATCATTTGAGCCCAGGAGTTTGAGGTTGCAGGCAGCAATGATGATGCCACAGCACTCTAGCTCAAGCAACAAAATGAGACCCTGTCTCAAAAAAAAAAAAATCATTTTGTAAATCATAGTTATTGTTATTTTTATTAAAGGATACTTTGAGTAAAATGAAAAACTAGAATTGAAAAGTGTTTTTTGGATTTGGTAAGGAATGCATCAGCACCTTTGGTGAATTTGTGGAGCGAAACCAGATTAAGGAGAGTTAAAGACTATACATACTATGCATAAAAATAAATTCCAGGTGAGGACCTAAATGTAAACTGTGAAATCTTAAAACATCAAAAATAAAGGAAAATACTTTTGTGATCTCAGTGTAGAAAAGGAGTTCTCAAAACAAGACATAGAAAAGCATAAAATAAATACCTGGTAAAATTGAAAACATATTTACATCAAAATACAGCATTAAAAAGGTAAAAAAGAAAAGCCATAGATATAACAAAAATACAAAACCTTACAACTAACAAAAGATAGTTTATTTGTTGTTAGTTGATTTATAGGATAAGAAATTCTATAAATCAATAAGTAAAAGACAGATTTTCTAATTAATGGCAAAGAATATGAACAGGGACCCACCCCCCTAGGACCTACATTTATTAATGTTTCCACATTGTCACAGTCCTCACCCATTTATCTATTTACTCTCCTTTAGTCTCTCTTAGATTCCATGATCCATCATCTTAGTCAATACCTTACATATTGCTTTACTCCCTGCTGCCTCTTTTATTTCCCTTATTCGTTTGGCAAAACCATAACCTCGAGTAAATCCAGTTGTCCATATTCTCTGCAACTTTACCCCTACAGACTGCAGCTGTGGACATCCTTCCTCTAATGCAACCAAAAGCCAGGTGCAAATTCTGTTGAGAGTTTGCACATACAATGGTGGAAAGATGAAGGGAATCCATCCGATGGCTTCCATTTCTTAAGTGAAGAATGAAGCACTCTGGCGAAAATGAGGATGTAAGGATATGAGGGAGAGGGGATAGGAAAGACAGGATGTGAAGGCTAGAAGTTTGAAGAGATTGGAATAGGTATAATAGTTGTTGTGGGAGTGGGAAGGCTATGTTACAAGAGAAACTGATGAAGATTTTTGAGCACTCTGAGTACGAATTTGTAGTCATGAATTTATAGGATATCAATTTGTGAAACTTACAGTGCATCGGGTAGCTGAGAATAGGGCACACTGATCTTATATAGTTGTAGTGCACCATTACATCTGCACCTTCTGTCAGAGCTGCCAGTATCCCAACCTCCACTCTGCTATGATATGCAGTTATTCCAGTCTACTCTCCAAGAGACTCTGCAACTATTTATTCCATTTAGTGTACACAGATTATGCATGCTAGATCCATAAGACAGAAGGGTCCAGGATCCTGATGACTGAAATTTCATGTCAGCTCTAGAATGTATAGGTTTGTGTGTGACAGAAATAAACTCAAACCGTAAGCCACTGGTATTCCAGATTTGCTGTTCTCTACCACTGATCTTAATTCTCACCAATAAAAATCCCCAATTAATAATGCACAACTACGTGTGGGGGATGGACATGCTTGAAGCTCTTACTCAAGTGGGGAGGGGGGCATGG